AAAGTGCACTTATGAACACACACACACACACACACACACATATATATATACACATATATATGTATATGTATATATATACACATATATATGTATATATATATATATATATATTTGGTGCATGTGTAAAGTGAATATATCCTGTTATCAAATATAGTAGGCAGTTGTATTGTATACCAGCCCACCCCACATTTTTATTAACTTAGGTAAATTCTTCTTTGTCAATAGTAATTTTTTTTGTATAGGGCATGAGAGAGAAAGAGAGAGAAAGTGAGAGAGGGAAAAAGAATCACCCTTCAGTGGGATGGCCATGGTGAAATCCTTTCTCCTCCATTTTCCTCTCAAGATTTTGGGCATGCATGCACACATGACCAGTGTGATTTTCTTCCTTTTTAAAAAATTATTTATAATTATTATTATTTTAAATTGGACCAGAGATAGAGAGAAGAGAGAGAGAGAGAGGGAGAGGGAGAGAGAGAGCAGTTCTTCAAGTGTGATTTGCAAGCTGCTGAGTTCAGGACTTGAACCATAGTCATGTGGGAGTCTACCACCTTAACTACTACTACCCCTATTTGCCCTCAAAATTATGACCTTATAATACAGATGTGTGAATACCAATCAACAGATAAAAATTAGGGAGATCTCTTTTGACCCATGAAATATCTTTGAAACCAAATAGTGTGTGATTCCACTAACTAAGGCACCTGAAGTACTCAAAGTCATAGAAACAGACAACAGAATGGTGGTTTCCAGGGAGTTGGTGAAAGGGAGACACAGAGAGTTTTCTTTCAATGGATATAAAGTTATAATCACTGAGCCAGCTGGTGATGTGATGGTTCAGGTGGATAGATGGCATATGGTTGACTCCAGGCCCAGCAGCTTGAAAAATGCACAATCAACATTCTGAGATAGAGGGGACTGTGGTGTGGCCGTTCTCCTTATGGAGTGATTTCTCACTATCCCTCTCTCTGTCTCTCTGCCCTGTGAGTGCATGTGCTCAATAGCAGAACTAAAAACAAGAACAAAACCCTATGAAACATCACATTGTGCTCCGTAAATATGTACAATTATGATTCATCAATAAATAAACAAGTTAAAGATCCTGTAGAACACATGATCTGTGGGAACAAAGACATGAGTTGAAATTCCTAAGCAGAGTTGGTACTGCAAAAACCTAAAGGGGATTAGATGCAAACAAAACTATAGAAATTAATGTTAAGACTGCAAAATATTAACTATGGCATTTCAATTATGTGAGTCATACCTGTCTGTGTGAAATAGCCATCCGACCTTCCTCTTTTCAGGTAGTCACCTCCACCACATGGAACCAGGGAATGAGACACAAATTTCAGAATTCCTTCTTCTGGGACTTTCAGAGGAACCAGAATTGCAACCCCTTATATTTGGGATTTTCCTCTCCATGTACCTGATCACTGTGTGTGGAAACCTGCTCATCATCCTGGCCACCATCTCAGACTCCCACCTGCACACCCCCATGTACTTCTTCCTCTCCAACCTGTCCTTTGCTGACATCTGTTTCAC